TGACTAATGAACTGAATAAATGCGAAAGAAAGAAAGAAAGAAAGAAAGAAAGAAAGAAAGAAAGAAAGAAAGAAAGAAAGAAAAGAGCAAAGACTCCCTTGGACCAAGTTCACCTCCCAATGTCTACATGGAGACGTCCGGGCCCTGCTTTGGACCACAGAATGGAAGTTAGGTCATCAACACCTTCCAACCTCTTTTCTTCTTTTGCTTTTCTCATTGATGTTTAGCTTCCAGGCTGGACTTCCTGGTGGTCTCTCTTCAAAATTCTCTCCCAGGCCGACCCTGCTTAGCTGTTTCAAGCTCAGCCAAGTTCCACAAGTCCACTGAGGACTCGTGCATAGAAACCAATTGGAAAACAATAAAGGAAGGATGAGATTCTGGAGAGACGCACCTGGTAAGGCTGCATGAGCCATTGTTTGGTCTTGAGGGAGGAATTGAGGGAGGAATTTCTCACGGTGGGCGAAATCTGAGCGACGGCAGAGCGCAGACTGCTGCCGGGGAGAGCCCGAAGGCACACCAATCGTGCTGCCAACATGGCTGCGGGAACCAAGTCAATGACAACAGCAACCTGCAAAAACAGGAAAGAAGTCAGTGCTCACTGATCCAGAAAAGCAGGAGAAACCTCGGCAAAGCAAAGCTACACAACAACACAATTTTAGTTGCAGGCAATCAGAGGTTGCAGGAGACAGTGTGATGATGTGAAACAAGGGTCTCCAACCTTGGCCATTTTAAGACCTGGGGGTGAAGTCCACAAGTCTTAAAGTGGCCAAAAGGTTTGACACCCCTGATGTAAAAGTACCAGGACCACACTGGAAAACTCTGGGATACTCGACCCCTGAGGACCTCATGCCCAGGACATAAATTTCCCCTGGAAGACTGTTTTGCAGCTCCCTGCCCAAGGATTTCTTACTAATCTCCCATCCAATTACAAACCAGATCCAATCCACCTTAGCTTTTCAAGACTGCCTAAGGACACACAAAAGATGCCATCCAATTGGTTCTTAGAATATGAGACATAACAGAGCACTGAATCTAAGTGGCTTAGGATTCTCTCACTGAGAAGTAACAATCGGTCCCCAATAGAGCTTTAAATAAAATCCAGCTGGAAAGATATTAGCAAAGCACACATTTCACATTAAATGGAGAAAATCAACAACCATCTAGATGCCCCAATGCCTGCAATGTTGTTAGAACTGCAACTTTTTAACAGAAAGAACAGAAATATGAATGCCTTTTACAGATAACCTTACCCAGAGCCTCAGTAGTAACTGAGATAAAAGGAATCCTCCTGTCAGAGGGAGATATAGGATATAATTCCTGAACAAGTGCCAGCCGAATATACCATTTGAACAACTCTGTAGCACTGTTTTTCAAATAAAGTATTCAGTAATAATTTGGTTTTAAATCTAGCCCACTCGCTGCTAAGCAAACGTAGAACAATATTCTCTTTTCAAGCTTTAGTTTTATGTCACTTACACCCAAGCAGGCATGTACGTTAATAATCCATTTTTTAAAAAGGTGGGATGCCCAAGACCGAGACCATGGGGTCTTTTTGTCTCAAGAGTCGACTTCTAATTCTTCTGGACTTTTTGAAAGAAAAGGCACAGCTGCCCGCAGAAGAAGGCAAGAGATTAAATATTTCACTGCATGGTCCAGTATGCAGTATCAGTCCTTAACAGCAAACCGGTAAATGCTGAGTCAAAACTGGATGATGTCACAAAGAGTAATATCTTGTGTGTGTATTTAGACATGTGCCCAGTCTCTTCACCTTAAAATGGCAATTATTGCAACAGGCAAGGAAACTCAGAATGAAGGTCAAAGTGCTGCCCTTCTGATGGTTAATATTCCATAAGAGTTTTATCTCTTTATCTGTTTAGAATCATCCGTTCCTTTTTTAAATAAATAACAAAATTGCTGTACTGCTGCCTGGTTGTTTATTTAGCATACCTAAAGTCATGCAATCACTGAAACAGAACACTAACACAATACATTATATGGGCTGTCCAGTAACTGATACACCAGGCCGTGGCCTGTTCAAAACTGGGCGGGCAAGAGTGTGTGCAAAGTTCCATTTGTACAAATGAAGGATGTGAGCGGAGTTTCATGGGCGAGCACACACGCTCTCTGCTCACATGAGGGGAGCTTCATGCTCTCATGCAAGCACCCTCCGTTCCTACACAAGGCTTAATTTGGCGAGTGGAGGGAGAGAGGGAGCGTGTGCCCGCTGCTCACATCAATGGAGCTGGGCAGGCACGCATGTGTGCCTACCACTCACATGCCGCCTTTCGTGCCAAGCCGGTATGCACAATCATTTACGCCAGCACCACGCTTCAAAGCCATCCGTTCTTCTAGGATCAGCTCTTCTTAGTGTCCAACTCTCACATCCATCCAGGGAAGGCTATTGCTGCAACTAGCCTGCTTTCTGTATTTGTATCAATAGCTCACAAACACAGATATAAGTTTAAATAAAGCATCAGCTCACACATGGCTGCAGAGCGTGTGGACAGAAAAATAGAGAAAACATTAAATCAGGGGAAAGCCAGGATCAAATCCCCATCAGATGGCAGTGAAGGGGGATAGATGTTAATATCCCCTGGAGGGCAGAAGAGTGGGGTCTTTCCAGAGTGAAATACAGTTTAAGTAATTAAAATGGTCCCTAAATCAGGAAAGGATTTCCCTTTTACACCTGTTTGTCAGGATTGCACACACAACTGTCCTCTCATCAGTTTCGGTTGTCTTCCCTTCCCACATGAACTGATGCCATTTGTGAGTTGAAAGCCGCTCAGTCTTTTTAAGACGGGCGACTCTCCCCCAGGTGAGCAAATAAAGACCAGAGCTTCATGACACAAAAAAGGATGGAAGAGAAAAAAGTTTCAGTTAGGACATAAAGTGTCCCTTCGCCCCCCCCTCCCCAAATCCAGGCTGAGTCTTCCTTGGTCAGTCTTCCGGCACCAGATGATCTCATGGTGGTCTCCCATCCACCCAATTCACCAAATCTCTTCTCCATCAGAGTCACGTGTAGGAGGAGGGAGAAATGCCCGTGAACTGCAGGGGAGGCCATCCATACCACCCCCACGGCGCCCCTCCCGCTCTCAGATCCACCGAGGAGGGGACAGAGGCTGCCCCGGGGCTGCCCAGCGATTCCTTCCTGCCTCAGTTTCCCCAGGCGAAGCCCAAGGAGCCGGAGGAGAGGGCGGGGGCTTCAGGCAGGGAAACAGGCAGCAGCCACCATGTATTCCTGCTCCCCCATCAGAGGGCTCCTCGTGGCTGCCCTTCCAGCCACAGCAGCCCTGCCAGGAGGGCCAGCCTGAGAAAGAAGGTCTCCCTCACCTTCTTCAGCACAGGGAAGTCACCTGGGGGTCCCGGGGGAATTTAGGCCCAGGCATGCAGACACCCCACACACACAAACAGCCCTGCCAGGTAGGCCCGCCCCCATTCCTCCCTCCAGCGGGGCGAAAAGGAGAGGCCCCGGGGGCTTCCCAAGGCCGGAGAAGCGCTGTCCTCGACGGCACTACCGACTCACCTCCCGCCGCTCGTCCTTCTCCCGATGGCGCAGCGGCTTTCAGGAAGTGGCGTCCTTGCCAGGAGAGGGCCATCCGCCCTTCCCGCCCTACCATTGGTTTCTCTGCCTCACGTGGTCTAATCTCCCCGCCCCCGAGTGGGTCGGCGAGGCTTCTGCGGCCATCTTGAGTGACGGCACAAGGGCACTTCTTCCGAAGGCGCTCGCCAAATGGCCGCCGCTGGGCGGAAGTTTAGGGAAGAGTTCCACTCGTTGGAAGGGAGGAAAGTCGAGAGTGGGCGGCCATGTTTGGAGCGGGCAGCCGAAGAGCCGTCTGCCATGTCGGCCGCGGGCACGGCCGCGGTCCATTGGGATTCCTTCTGCGGCTTAGACACGGTCGCAAATCGGTTTACTTGCAGACGATCCCCTGCTGGAGAGGAGTGCATCTGATGGGCTGCGAAAGAGAGAGGACGAAAAAGAGCCTTAAGTAAAGCAATTAATTACATGTATTTAATTAATTAATGTCTGGATTGAATTAGTCTGGTCAGACGCTGAGCTGTAAACATGGCCTCGGCCACTAGATGGCAGGCAAGCGCCAGGCAGGATGAGCAGAAGTGTGGGTTTTTTTCAGTCCCAAAATTCAGCCCAAAAATCTGCAGAGAAATTGTGATGCAAACAGATTATGCGGCTGCTGCGTGTATTAATGTTAGGAAATTTCAGACGAGGCTGCCCTCATGCTTGGTATTGACCTCCTTGCCCATATCTGATTTAAAGAGAGTCAACCTAATATTGGCTCAAAAGGATTGTACGGTAGGTCTTGTTTCTGGCTATAGTTATCTATTGGTCAAATTTATATAACTCGCAAAGCTACATCTCTGCTTCTCGCAAAGCAAGTGACTCTGGGCGGCCTGCGACAAAGCTGGTTAATAAAGTAGTTAATCAATACCTAAAACAAGTATTATTAAAATTATATATGCCGAAAGGACTCCTATCCTTGTTGCGTTCTGTTAGATCAGTGTTTTTCAACCACTGTGCCGCGGCACACTAGTGTGCCGTGACATAGTGTAAGGTGTGCCGTGGGAGAATTACTTTATATATAGTC